AGGTATGGATGGCTATTGGTATCGAGTTGAAAGTGGTATTAAATAGTAACGAAAAGAAAGAAATCATAAAAATGTCAAGCTTCTGAGTCAACACAATGAAAAGAAATATCCATATCCAAATGCCACGTATAAAAATAGGGTGCATTCTGTTGACGTACAATTATAAAAAATTCGCTAAATAAGTTAGACAACAACACATTAGGGAAAAAAGTTAAACACTTTTGTATATTTGACGTATAAAACGACCTTTTCCTGATTTCTAAATTTATATTACGTCGACCGATGCGTAAAAAAGTATATGGAAGGTTTTTTTTTTACTGCAAAATTATGTCCTTTTGTGCCTAATTGTCTATATTTATATGACACGCACAACATATGAACAATATTAGTTCTGGATGTCTACACAGCCTACGAAAACTCTCAGTTTATACCAACAATCTTTGTGGTGAGACTTTTAATCAAGACCGTTCGGTTTTTTAACGTTAATTTTGACTACGGGACACTTCTCTGTGCGTAGGCCAGCTTTTTGTTACTTTTATTGACAGCTTTTATTTATTAACAGTATCTTGTGACACCTTTAAAATTTATTTTATTGTTTTTGATTTATTTTACAGCACGCTAACCCGCTAAGTTTATGAACAAAACCGCAGCTTAACACGTCACGATTTTATGTGGGCGAGTGACGCCTGTCTTTCCCACATATCACTGACACCCACAGAAAGGCACCAACATAGTAATAATCGTCAAGTAAATTTTATTGACCTTTGTGCTTTATGACTTAGAGTCCTTTTTCTACAATCACACATTTTCACATTTGACAATAATTCATACTTCCTTTACTTTGAGATTACTTTTGTTGTAATCTATATATTAATACGTGAAGCAAAAACTTTGTATCCCTTTTTAAGACAATTGCGCGAACGGAGGAGTATGAAATTTTCAAACTTATAGAGAATATAGAGAAGAAGTGCACAATGCTAATATTTTTTTTAAATAATGCATAAAAGATACATTAAATCAATAAAGAAAACATTACACACACTACCGTGTATTTGACACACACACACGCATGCGTACTGTTCGTTTATTGTCAAACTTTTCTTATTGCATAAAGTCTGTGGTCAAATTGAGAGTAGAATAAATATTGTTTGTCTTTATTAATATTTGTCTAAGGTGTAGATTATAGAAGTATAAATAGTCTTTGACAATAGAATCATATTAGTGTACAGAGCTATAATTTCAATTAATTATAGTCGAATTTTGACTACCGTGGGACCACTAGTAAATCATTAAATATTGGAAGCGTCTATGACGTAATGCTTAAAACGCCTGCTGAACTCATGTCAAATTATGCTTTTAACTCGAAGTACAAATCTTGTGACCAGTACCATATTGAAGGAATATCATGTAACAAAAATGAAGCCTGCATTACACAATTTTGACCGTCTATTGAGACAAGAAAGGCTAGTTCACATTTTGTAGCCTATAAAACAAATTCAAGACGCCTTAAATCTTCCTTAGACAGTTGATTCTAACTAAATGCTCAGCGAAGCGATGTTGGATTGTTCCCTTGGGCGTGATGCGAACGCACTTGTAACGACTTATACTTTTCCGCCCACCCACAAATTAGTAAAGGACAACATTAACTTAGGAAATAGGAAGTCGTTGATCACCGTCAGTATTGATTGTAAATTAGGTTTAGCGTCAGACAATGAAACCAAAACCCCAAAAAAATTACTGTTTATGCCAAGTTCACTGTGAATGTTTTAACAACATTTTGGGATCTAATTATGGATAAAGCATTCGTCTATACGATAAATGATCTCACTGAGACTACAATCTTATTATACCTTTAAACGAGCAGTAGTCGAAATTCGACTATAATTAATTGGAATTGTAAGTTTGTGCACTATTATGATTGTATTTTATACTACTATAATCACAAATTTCGCCAAGACTACACTATAAAAAATTTAACAAAGACAAACAATATTTAATCTATTCTCAATTTGACAGCAGACGTCAAGAACAAAAGTTTGACAATAAATAGTATGCATGCGTGTGTGCGTCAAATATATGGTCTGTAGTGTGTGTAATGTTTTCTTTATTGATTTAATGTATCTTTTATGCATTATTTAAAAAAAATATTAGCATTGTGCACTTCTTCTCTATATTCTCTATAAGTGTGGAAAATTTCATACTCCTCCGTCCCCGCAATTTTCGTAAAAAGGGATACAAAGTTTTTGCTTCACGTATTCATAACAGATATAATCTGAATCTCGGAAACGGCTCCAACGATTTTCATAAAATTTAGTATACAGGGGATTTCGGGGGCGATAAATCGATCTAGCTACGACTTATTTTCAGAAAATGTTGTTTTATTCGTGTTTTCAATAATCAACTCTTCCCAACATCTATTGGCGAATAATAATACTATTTTTCTTAATTGAGGGCAACTAACCGCTCTAAAGACACAACAAGATGGCGTTATAAAAAAAAAAAAAAAACGAGTAAAGCTCGGTCATCATCTAGTCATTCATTATTAGTATAATAATTATAATTCTTCTGCACGTGTTTTTGTTACTGAAATCCTCCTTAATGGCTGGATCGATTTTGATTTATTGTTTTGTGTGTGTTTGAGTACGGCTTAGATTTACGACTGGACCCGTTAGGTAGCGCTGCAATTGGATTGTAGGTTTATTTATTTATTTTCAGAGCATGCTAGCGTATGTTAGTGGCCTTTTTCTTTAGTACTCACTGAGATTAAGCCCAGCTCAATTTCATTTGGTGTGAAATGTTGCTAAAACTTGTACTACCTATTGTGAAAGCCTCATATTTGATTGAAGTTTATAAAGGTAGGATTACTTGTGGTCCGGAGGCCCTTTCAGTTTCACTAGGACAGATAGGCAAGCAAAGGCTCAGGAGGGATGGGATTTGTTAACAGCTGCCCGAGCGCCTCTGGTTTTTTTTTTTCGACCTAAGCTTATTGGTAAAATAGCTAGATAGCCTTGAGAGGCTATTTCAGCGTAACCTTAACTAGTAGGTGAGCTCACGTGGCTCAAGCCTGACGACGCTGCTAACACGAACCCTAGCAAGAGCCGTGATTCGCAGAATCTCCCACAGGATCGAAAACGCGACCCACTGAGAAGATCCGGCGAGAAACTTAGAAGGCTCGAGCGCCTCTGAAGGAGACCTAACAACTCAAGGGCAGTTTCTTCGCGAATGAGACGCAGAACAGTACTCTTCCGTAAAATATGTTATAGTTTACAAACATCGGACGGGACCAACCTTTTTAGGAGACTTTCGAAGTAGATGCCCGGTGCATTCATATACGAACATGCAAATATGACATTTACTGGCTCCAGATACGATCTCGTTCATGTTGTCGCGTCCCGTGGAGCGATGGCGTTGATTTGTTAAAGCCAGTGCCACCTTCCCCTAAACATTTTTTGTATTCTGACTCCGCCAGGGGATCGGAAGCTCTTGTCGAAAATCAACGAAGGACTTGCTTAGCGATTTTTACTCTCAGTACTAAACTTGATAATTCTAATACGTGAAGATACTGAATTAAATACAAAAAAAAAAGTTTTTTTTTTAGTAGGGATTATAGGATAAGTGCTCATCAAACACGTGTTCATGAATGACAAAGGCATAAAGTTCTGTAATGAAATAAATTTTGAAATTTTCGTTTTGACTGTCAACGTAATGAACCTACATCTAGGTATTATAAGAATACTCACATTAAAATAAATAGCGGGTCTGACTGTTTAAAATACTGGCATAACACAGGTACATTGAATTGAAGTCGTCGTGGCCTAACGGATAAGACGTCCGGTGCATTCGTGTTGAGCGCCATTTTCAGTTCCAATTGCAACACCATTTGGTCCGGACGCGTTTTTGAGAAAAATTGTCGCTGCCGTCGCGAACGTGAGTTGTGAGTTGCCCGACATTGTCGTTGTCGCATAGATCGCGACATTGTTGTGCATTCTCGACGCGCTGTCGCTGGCGTCGCGACCTTGAATCCCAAAAACAGTTCGAGCTTGTTGTTGTGCACTCGTAACGCCAACTCATTATCACCCATACATTTCATATATTAAATTCATTTATATATTCGGCGAGCAAAACAGTCTCTTTCGAGACTAAAACTCCACTGAGATCACCGCTTGTTGTGGCATTCTCACAACCCAGTGGAGCCCCACCTTCCCAACTTTCCACCCCAATCCCCAGCCGACTGCCGTTTTCACGGCAAAGGCACTCCCCCCCTTGTTGCTGGCACAGCGCAGGGGGTATAACTCCCACTCAGGGGACTCGCCTTTCGGCGAGTTTGTTTTAAGTCCCGGGGACGCCCCCCCCGGGCACACGTCACCATGAGTGACGCCAACGCTGCGCTATTCATTAAGTTCGTCCGCGACTTCTATCCGGACATAGTAGCACGATTCGAGGTTTACAAGGCCGGCCTTGACGCGCCGGCACTCCGAGACTCTCCGCTGTCGCCTCCCGCGCCGGTACTCCGCGACTCGCCGATGTCGCCCCCCACCCCCGCGCCCGCGTCGATCGCGTCATGCGCGGCATCGAGCTCCGGCTCCGACTCCGAGTCGGAGATGGAGTTCGAGTCGGCCGCNCTGAGTTTCTCGCCGGATCTTCTCAGTGGGTCGCGTTTCCGATCCGGTGGTAGATTCTGCGAAGCACGGCTCTTGCTAGGGTTCGTGTTAGCAACATCGTCAGGTTTGAGCCCCGTGAGCTCACCTACTAAAGTTAGGGTTACGCTGACATAGCCGCTAGGGCTATCAGCTTAGGTAGGAAAAAAAAAAAAAAAAAAAAAATGTTGAGCGATGCAACGGTGCAATCTCAGGCGGTTACCAATTTTTCTAATGAAATACGTACTCAACAAACTGAACTGGGGAACTTCCACTTCCACTATTCTACATATATATTATTCTTATAATTGAAAATACAGAAGGTGATTATATAAAATAATTGTTTTTATTTTTTTTTAACAGGCGGAGGAACTAAACACGCTGGTGGGAGATGCTTTCCGAATGGCGTTCGCGTCGCAGCTTCAGCCCTCTGCACCATTATGGGTGAGTTACAACATATTGAGCAATGAATACTACAAAATTTTAACGAACTAGTGGTCCCACAGTAGTCGAAATTCGATTATAATTAATTGAAATTATAAGTTTGAACATTATTATGATTCTATTGTCAAATTATATAATCACAGATTTCGCCAAGACTACACTTTAGGCAAATATTAATGAAGACAAATAATATTTAATCTATTCTCAATTTGATCACAGACTATAAGCAATAAGAAGAGTTTGACAATATACAAACAATATGGCTGCGTGTGTGTGTCAAATATATGGTAATGTGTGTAATGTTTTTTTATTGATTTATTGTATTTTTTATACATTATATTAAAGAAATATGAGCATTCTGCACTCCCTCTCTATATTCTCTATAAGTGTAGGAAATTTCATACTGCTCTGTCCGCGCAATTCTCGTAAAAAGGGGTACAACATTTTTGCTTCACGTATTAATATATGCAACGAATTAAAATAATTAAAGCCTTCTCATAATCAAAGCATTACGCGTTCTGTTTGACGAAGGCTTTAAATGGAACCACATGAAAGCGTTATTACAGCTTTCAAATAGATTCATCAAAATCGGTTCAACTAAACCACACATAAAAATATATTCGAATTGAGAAAATACAATTCAGATTTCGGAATCATGTCCCAATGGCAACGGTCTTTACGTTATTATTATTTTTTTAACTCCAATAACTACTTAACACCTCTGCCTATTAATATCTAAAAGAACGTAAACCACAAATCGAAGAATCTAATAGCCGGATATGAAATTCGTAAAATACCATAATTCTCTCAAAAAACGTTCCGAACATCGACACCCTATTTATTGTTTTAAACGGGTATTCAGTAAAAACTACCAAGCTACTGTTTAAACACGGGTTGTGTTTAGTTATGCGTAGAGATGACTGTGCGGCTGAGAAGAGCTCAACTTGAGAATTCAAGAATTCTAATATTTTACTTTCAGTCTTGTAAACTTAAAATAGAGGATTTTTCAATCTGCTTCTTATAAATAAATAAGAAAAGTGGCTTTCTTTCTCCGTGTCCATCTGTTGTGTTTCGTATACATATAACATTGAGTTGAAAGTTTGTATAGTTGTTGTCAGCAGTTTCCGGAATACATCTGGTATGGTGCCACTAAAGTGCAATAAAACACGAGTAGTTTCAACTACTGAATTGATTTCATAATTAGAGATTTCGTAATTCGGGTGGATTTCTTTATTAATTTCATATTTCATGCGATAATCAAAGCGAAATGTAGTTTTATTGTACTCAAATATTTATTTTCAGCACGCAGAATGTGCTGTTCCTGATTGATACGTCGCCGCGTCAGTTGTATTTCGATGCCTCCAATGAACACTACTCTGACTGAAAAATTTTTAAATTTTCGTTTTTCACGCAAATCGCTTCACTATTTTAAAAGTATTACAAATTCATTATTGATGGGGTTCGAAGCAAGAGTCAATCAGCTAGTTACACAAGAAAAAACCATAAATATATCTACAATAATAGAGATTTTACCAACTTTTTTCGTTTAAGCTCTCCTCCTGTAAACCTACGAATTTGGAGGTAGAGTAGTGTTCATTGGAGGCATCGATTTGGAATGTTTAATATTGGTGATTTGTCGATTTATTGCTTGTTTGTTCGTGTTATAGTGTTAGCACTTCGATTATCAGATTGCGCTGTTTTGGTACTTCAATGAAGCCTTGTTAGTTTTAGGGTCAACAAGGACAAACTTATTATAAAAAGCGAGCGAATGATTTGGTGAATTTTGTGTCCGTCTCTCCTGGAAGCGACATGTCGTCTCAATGGCCGTACGATTTATATAATTCACTCTTAGTTATAAATAATAAATAAATATTTACTAACAATCACGCCACGTTAACTGGTCCCGTGCTAAGTTCGTAAAGAACTTGTGTTACAGGTACCAGATCACGGAAATAAATGTAAGATTTTTATTATACACAAACATATATTTAATATACATCCATAACCCTGGAAAATTCATTTTATATTTATCAGACAAATATCTTCTCTTGGCGGGATTCGAACCCGCGACCCCCTTGTGTAGTAACCATGTCACTTACCACTACACCAGACCGCTCTTATTTAATGTGTCTCTATGAACTTTCTATAATTTTATTCATACTACAAAATAAATTAGCGAATATTGTGAGTAAATTATAAAAACAATAAAGAGATTATAAGTGTTATTAAACTCATTGGTATTTTTCTTTTATACTACCGTTTCTGATTCCTAGAAGTAGTATATTATTGTAGTGCCGTGTTACATGTTAACACTTAATTTAAATCCCGAATTATATGAAAAATACTCGAAAAACGTATTTTTAAAGTTATGGCGTTTCTTTGGGTGACGTGATGTGTATATTATATGCGGTCTCTAATAACACAGTATCGAGCAATATCCCGTTCACAGCGTATACTTCAAAGTCATTACGATAATCGTTTACTTTTAAAAGCTCTTAATAGTTTCGTCTTTATTTTTTTGTCAAACAATAATATTACAGTGTAATTTTTAAGGGAATCCGCTATCAGGTTCATTTATATTACCCGTGTGACGTCAGCAAAATCAGGGGCAGAACTAAGCGGCTACCTAGCGCTAAATACTCTCCACAAGCCTCGTTAGAAGAAGGACATGGAAATACACTGGAGGGGAGGTCATTCCAAAGCCGGATGGTACGTGGCAGAAAAGATCTCTGGAAACGCACTGTGGGTGAACGCAGTGGCTCCAGGTAGTATGGATGCATTCTACTCCGGTGGCGGGTTATGCGATAGTAAAAACGAAATGATGGTATCATCTCAAGCAATTCCTCAGAGCACTCCCAGAGCTTTCAAGCGATCGTTGAGAATGGGATTATCGACAATCCGGACCGCGGGTCGTGGGGTCGATTCTAACATCGGATATAATTTTAAAGGTATCTATATATTAATACGTGAAGCAAAAACTTTGTATCCATTTTTATGAAAATTGCGCGGACGGAGAAGTATGAAATTTTCCACACTTATAGAGAATATAGAGAAGAAGTGCACAATGCTAATATTTTTTTTAAATAATGCATAAAAGATACATTAAATCAATAAAGAAAACATTACACAAACTACAAACTTTTGTTCTTGGCGTCTGTTGTCAAATTGAGAATAGATTAAATATTGTTTGCCTTTGTTAATATTTTTTATAGTGTAGTCTTGGCGAAATTTGTGATTATAGAAGTATAAAATACAATCATAATAGTGTACAAACCTCTAGTACCTCTAGGGACCTCTAGTATTAAGTAATTATGTATATCAATGTATATGGTTCCCATAATACAGCGTTTAACACCTTATATTTTAAATGCCATAGCTAATAAAAAGTTATTAGAATAGGTATCTGTTATAACACGCTTCTTAAATGCAAATATGTACTTTGAATTTGGATACATATTTTTACTAAACTATCGTGAATGTTAACATGTGCAATACATGTACAAAACAAATTTTTTATACAATAAAACATTCAACAATAACTCAACACTAAATCCTCTGTATCATAAAGTTTTATATGTATTTTTAAACTCTTGTCAACTTCAAAAGACAACCATGTCTTCTTTGAAATAGAGATTACTTTTATATGCTCAATAACTCAAAAATCTTTAAGCATACTCCTAAAATGATATTCATCTTTATCTCATTAACGTAGAGTTCAAAATTCTTGAGTTGCAACATGTACCCACTGTGCATATATTGAGTGATTTATTACAGTTAGTCCTCTGCCTACTACCGCGTTTCCCTGTTATTATGACAACCCCGTGATTTGTGGTACTTTAGAAGTGGCATTCTTTTGTTTTTAACTCTTCGTGTCTTGAAGGAGACAAGTTTTATACCATTTTATACCGCTGTTCATACATTATGTGCTAATAATACAAGATTTGTTAGTAGCAAATTAAGAATTAAGAGACAGTGTTGTGTGATACGTCCTGCTTATTTTTGGGGTGTAGTAATTTTGTGGCGCAGATTAGTTCTTATTCCAATGACCTATGAATCAAGGTAGCGCGGCATGCTCTTGTTACTAGCGGCCTCCAGTAACATCAGCGGGCTTAAGTCATGCTTAAGTTAACACTTTGTGTGTAGTTGGAACAGCCCTCTTAGCGGCAAACGTATGCAAACGTTTCAACTCCATACAAATTTGAGTTAACTTTTACGCTATCGAGAACGTTAAAATACTCACACCAAGCATACTGGTCATTTACTGTTTGTATGAGGTCTACTCAGATGTAATAGCAATTATTTGTCAAAACTAAATTGATGACTGTCTAACGTTACAATGCAAATTTTTGGAGTTTACTCCTTTAGAATCGATTTACATATATAGGCCCGGGGTATGAAAATTATGGGGACCAAAATCGTACTAGCATGTCACACGAAATGCGTTATGCGCCTGATTGGGTCCTGATTGCGTGATGCGTGCGCGCGCCAATCAGGAGCCAACGCGCGGCCGCGTTATCGCAGGTGACGCCGGGCTGCTGCGCCGGCAGTCCACCACAAAGCCTCGTACTGATCGCGCGTTTCTCTCATTATTGTATTTTCATATATTTGTTAGTCGTTTGTTTTGTGTCTCGTTAATTTGTTAATAATCTGTAGTGTATCGTGTTGTCGTAATATAGAACTATTTCTCGTATTGTTTCGTTTAATTTTTTATATCCAGTAAACTCCAGTCGTGCGTCGGAGCGGACACACACACTTTTTTTTTTTTTTTTTTGGAGTTTACTCCTTTAGAATCGATTTACATATATAGGCCCGGGGTATGAAAATTATGGGGACCAAAATCGTACTAGCATGTCACACGAAATGCGTTATGCGCCTGATTGGCTCCTGATTGCGTGATGCGTGCGCGCGCCAATCAAAATCGTACTAGCATGTCACACGAAATGCGTTATGCGCCTGATTGGCTCCTGATTGCGTGATGCGTGCGCGCGCCAATCAGGAGC